TCTGAGGGCGGAAAACATTTCCTTAAAATCACAGCCTTCTAGCTTTTCAAGTTGCCGAGTTTAACAATTATCCGTAAAAACATTCACGGGCCCGTACGTGGGAACCACGCATTTCCGAGGGCTGTGTTTAAACTCATTAATACCTACTTGGACGGGGAGCAATCCCTTAAAATCTCCGCCTTCTAACTTTTAAGGTTGCCGAGTTAACAACTTACACAAAAAAATTTTGGCTGTCCCGTACGTGAGTACCATGCGGGTAAGAACGCCCACTTCGGAGATGGAGACCCATAAATGCATGTTCCCAAAGTTTCAGCCCTGTAACTTCTGTAAGTTTCGAGATGAAAAATCGGTAGAGATGCGCAGCGCACACACAGACACAAACACAAACGCACACATATATATAGACACACAAACATATGTACATACACAGACAACCTCTCGTCAATATGCATTTTCTGCATTGCATAGATACACAAAACGCATAAAAAAAGTACCTTGATCCAATTCATGCTCAAGCCTTTGTAAAGGCCTCTTTTGATGCCCTCGGTGAGCCATATCTCATACATACTATATAATACATTTTGTCCCGCAGGAATAATACCGGTCTGCATTCGACGTCGCACAATATCTAGCGGATAAGAGGACGACTGACCAATAAGACCCGCAAATGCACCGAACTGAAGGCGCAGCATGGCAGGCACTTCATCACCCGTTCTTTCTGCAAACAAATCCTGAACAGATAGAAACCAGTACTGAACATTTAGAAAAAAAAAACAACATAAAACTGCACCAACTGAAAAAATGAATAAAATTTAGACATTCAGGAAAATTCCCTGAAAAATTCTGAACTCTTCTATAACTAAAAAGGACTCACCATTATAGAATAATTTAAGAGTTTCAAAAGTAAAGAAACTGGCACCGGCATACGGTATTGCACCCATCAGAGTCGGAATTAAACCTCTGTAAGATGACCTGAAAAAAAAAACTTCTTTTAAAAACGATTATTTTCCACTGAAAGTATTTTGAGATAATTTCAGTTAGGACTTTTGCGTCTTTTGAAGCCCAGATTTACCCTCTTCGCAACAGCGCTTTTCATCAAGTGTAAGGTGAATAAGAGTCATGCTGTAAGCAGCTGCTTCCTTATTATAATAACTAGTCGCAAACAAGCAGGAAGCGTTTTTTTCTTTTTGGGCTAAGTTTCACAGTAACTACAATTTCTTCATGTTTTCGGATTCCGCAAACACTGATTTATACAGCACACAGTTTTGAAGATGTACTGCTCTATTTCTCAAAGCTGTATTATACTATTGCTACAATGCATGTGAATGCATCTCAGAAATATTACTGCAGTCACAAACAGTGTATGGGAGCATCCTAGTAACATCAATAACGCCATATCCCTAAATTAATTGTCTGGGCAATCACGGTAAAGTCGATATTAAAACAGGGAACAGATCTGAATCCCTTTAACTGGACTCCATGGTATTTTCAAACTCAAAGAAGATGAGGAAAGATAAACATCTTTTTGCCCCGACCACTGTTCATTTCGATCTCGAAGACCATGACTACACAGTTACACAGATACATACCTAATACCGAATCTTCGATAATCTTTGATAAAAACGGATAATAAAGAGCTATATTCTTTCGAAGTTGAAGTGGCAAGACGTGCTTTAGCGGTATCAAGTGGATATGTACATGTTGTAGCGACAACTGCTGCTAACGATCCAGCAATAAGGCGCTTCATCGGAGTCCTCTCCCTGCAAACATTGATATATTTGTTTAGCAACAATTTAGTTGTTATATAATCAGCATCGAGTATTTTTGTATCCGGAGCCCGATAACTTTGGCGAAGGGATCCAAGCGAACCGAGGAAGGCTCACTGACAATGTGGTACATCCAATATGCTTCGCCAAAAAGGCGAAAATCGCGAAAGGAAAGTCAGGATCACCAGCAGGGTGACAGCCGGATACTAAAGCTTCGATCACAACAACCAAGAGAAGGTAGATGACAAAGCCAGTAATGCAGAGGTGCGTTAGGATAAAACAACAGCACATCAAGTTTACCCGCGTTTGTCGACCCATAACAAATTTTTGATTTGTTCATGTGCAGCAAACTGTATCGCCGCGTACGGGATGACTCGTGCCATCGTTGCTGAGTTGCCCCTCCATAACGACAGGAAGCCGGTTGTTTGATAACTGAGCTTGATAAATCGAATTGCCGATTTTAACGAATAGCCGCGCGTCCTGGAAACTGAATCAAATTTTATAATTGTGAAATATGACCAC